ACAAATGGGATGTTAAGGTCATGATGTAGGGTTTTGTTGGATACATAGAAAGGAGCATCGACTATTGTTCGAAGGACTTTAGACTGGAAGGATTGGATGCGCTTGATGTTAGAAAATTTTGCTGATCCCCACAGTTCTAGTCCGTAAGTCCAAATAGGTTTCAGTATTGTCTTGTAGATCAGTAGCTTGTTTTCAATGGAAAGTTTAGATTTTCTGCTTAGTAGTCGGTATAGTTGGCCGTATCGTCGGTTGAGTTCTTGTCTTTTGAGTCTAGTATGCGGGTTCCAAGTTAGTCTTCGGTCTAAATGAAAGCCAAGATACCGGACTGTGTCTGAATAAGGAAGCTGGATGGTATTAAAGAGTACTGGTGGACAGGAATTGCGTCGGAGTGTAAAAGTAATATGTTGGCATTTAGATTCATTAACTTTAATGCGCCAGTTATTACACCAGTGCTCAATCAAGGTGAGATGACTTTGGAGATTTAAGGATGCTATTTCGGGATCAGAGTTGGATGATAAGATTGCGGTGTCGTCAGCGAATGTTGCAAGAAAAGTATCGGGATGAACAGGGATGTCAGCAGTAAAGAGGATGTAGAGCACGGGACCCAAGACGCTGCCTTGGGGAACACCGGCTTTAACGGAGTAGATATTGGAAAATTCTGTTCCACAGCGAACTCGAAAGGAGCGGTCAGAGAGGTAGGATCGGAGGACTAGGTACAAGGACTGAGGTAAATGGATTTTAAGCTTGGAGAGCAGTCCGGAGTGCCATACCCGGTCAAATGCCTGTGCAATGTCCAGAAAGGCACCCGAACAGTATTCCTTGTTTTCTAGGGCTGAGGAAATATGATCAACAACTCGGAGTCCTTGTTGAACAGTAGAATGTTGAGAGCGAAAACCAAACTGATGGGAAGGGATATTTTGGGATTCTATAATGGGTAGGATTCGTTTCAAAAGGATCTTTTCAAAAATTTTTGAAAGGATTGGGAGTAGGCTGATTGGTCTATAGGATGTTGAGCTATTGAGAGGTTTTCCTGGTTTTGGGAAAAGGATAATAGTGGAGTGTTTCCATAACAGAGGGAAGTGGGTGGTGCGTAGGATACAATTGTAGATATATGTAAGGAATATGACTGCTTTGGATGGAAGTTGTCGAAGGATTTGAGGTGTAAGGAGATCATGTCCAGGAGCTTTACGGAGGATTAGTTTTTTTAATTGAAATTTTACTTCGGAAGGATGAATAGCTTTTGGGGGCAAGGAAAGTGGGATTGGTGATGTAAGGAGTTCTTCTACTGTTACGGTGTGGGCAGGATGGGATTCCGGATGTGAAATAAATGTATTGGATAGGTGAATGGCGAACTCCTCAGCTTTATCTACAACTATATTAAAAAAATACATCTAGTTAACTTGTAAAATTTAAAAATACGTTATAATGACATGAAAAAACTGCTTTCTAAACTAGCCACTGGTAGCACTCGAAGAGCAGTTATATTTTGGTGTTTCTCCTACATGTGTCAATACTATCATCCTAGGCAATTCCGTTTAACGTGCGAAGGATTTTCCTCTCAAATCTTTTGACATTTCTTCCTTGGTGTTGTTTAGTGTACTTACTCAGAACCAAGAATTTATTTATTTAATTTTTAGAATTTAGAATTTATTTTTGATGAGGCTGGAGGGTAACTTGGTTTGGTTTGTATAGGTGTAGTCACTAGGGGATCCAGGATTTAATTTTTTTTTTTTTTTTTTTTTGGCGGAGCTTCAGCCCGAAAGATTTTTTCTGATATATACATAACGATAATTAATTTGAAAAAAAGAAGGAAAAAAATGAACTACCTACATGAAATGGTGTTTAAGTGATTCCTGAAGTCCTATTAAATGTAATTACACAACAATAATACTTTAAGAGATAGTTTTTAATATTTTTTCTATAAAACGTGGTTATAATTTTACCGTTTTGGGGGGGAGGGGCTTCAGCCCGAAAGCCCCTCTCCTCCCGTAGATCCACCTGTGAATTTAAGTAACTAGTATGTGATAATGAAAAACTGACTAAGTGTAGAAAAAACTGTCGGATAGAATAGAAAAAGAGAAATGTTAATAACATACAGGAAAAGAAGGAAAAACATTAATAAGTGAATTGTAATGTCTTTGAAGACTGACAAAGAGTCCGAAAAGTTGGATATAATATATTGTCATATATGCGGAACAGAAAATTGTCATGCTTTATACCTAAAATAACACAAACTCTCCTTTAAATAAATTATAAACATTAAATAATATAAAAGGAAACTATGTTTTTATTTTATCACATTATATAAAATATTACATATAATAAAATATTACATACATAATAAATTAAAAAGACTAACTGAATGAAAAGAACTGACTAGACGATATCTGACTACAACACCATACTGAGAACAATTTGGACAAACGGAGCAGAACTTTGGGGTTCCACAAAACAAACACAATAAATAAAATACAATCAACACAATAAAAAATTCTACGAAAAAATGTCAACGTAATTTAGTATATTTCAAATAACGCTATATATATATAACGACTTAAATATCCAAACAGTAAAATCCTACATCCACGACAAATACACTTCATTTAATTATTCAACACTAAATCACTTCAATCCCTTAAGCTTTCTATTTCCTGCTCCCTGTTACCTGTTCGACGCAGACTAAAAAGAAAACGGGCAAGGGACCTACTCCTACAATAATAAAAAAATTAAGCTAATAAAACAAACTCGTAGCTAATGCCTAAAACATCAAATTTGCTAGGTGCGCTTCAGCGCAAACGGCATAAATTTTAAAATAAATAAATAAAATGTTATGATTGGGGTGATCAGTCAGTTTGACTGACCACCCCAACTATTCTTCTCTTCAATTATTCACATCAGTCAACCATCTATCCAGAATTAAATATTTTATTTATTTCATTATAATGTTTTGTGCGAAAAAAGGAAAGCCGCTAAATTAAAAGCTCTAAATAATCCTAGCGAAGACAATCTGGAATACTTCCGAATCTCAAAGAACGAAACGACAAAATTGCTCAAAAATAAAAAAAGGGAGTATCTTAAAAATAAAATAATTGAAATAGAAACTAATAGAATCGAAAATAACGTAAGAGACATGTACAAAGGTATAAACAGATCACGTAAATATGCAGGGCCCGTAACGTCTGGAATTAGGGATGATAATAACAATATTCTGACCGATCCGGTTGACATATTGAATAAGTTTAAGGAGCACTTTGACAACATTTTAAATACGGGAAATTATGATCGGTGTCCTCCTTCTGAGTTCCAGAGTGCTGAACCGTTAATAGAAGGACCAAGTAAAGAGGAAGTTGAAGTAGCTATCGGAAAATTAAAATCATATAAAGCAGCGGGAACCGATAATATTCCTACTGAACTAATTAAGGCATGCGGGGAAGCTGGAGTTTCTAAAATACATCGGTTGATTGAAAAGATCTGGGTGAACGAGAAATTACCTGAAGAATGGAAAGAATCTATTCTTATTCCGATTCACAAAAAGGGTCCGAGGACGGATTGTAATAACTATCGAGGAATTTCACTCCTTCCGGTATGTTATAAAATATTCACTGTAATCTTAACCAGTCGAATCACGGAATACGCAGAGGAAATTATCGGAGACTACCAATGCGGATTTAGACGGAGTCGTTCGACTATTGATCAAATATTTTCTTTACGGCAAATATTAGAGAAAAAATTGGAGTATAACGGTATTGTTCACCAGCTGTATATAGATTTTAAAAAGGCTTACGATTCTATTGACCGCCAGAAACTGTATAATATTCTAATCGAGCAGGGAATTCCAAAAAAACTAGTAAATCTAGTCAGGATGTGCTTGACGGAGACACTCAATAAAGTTAGAATCGGTAATAATTTGTCCGAAAAATTTGAGGTTCGTTCGGGATTAAAACAGGGGGATTCTCTTTCGCCTGTCCTGTTCAATTTGGCATTAGAACATGCCATTAGGGAGGTAATGCGTACCGAGAAAGGGTTGGATCTGGGCGGAACAACATCCGTGCTGGGCTATGCTGATGATCTGGTACTGTTAAGCGAAGACGTTGAAACTATAAAACTAAATACGACAACGTTAATGAAAGCCGGTAAAGAACTAGGACTCGAAATAAACGTGGATAAAACAAAATATATGGTTAGCTGCAAAAATGGCGATACTACTGGTGATATCGATATAGATGGTAATATGTTTGAACAGGTAGATAAATTTAGGTATCTAGGTTCTACGATAACTAGAAAAAACGAAATTGAAGAAGAGATTAAAGTTAGACTGAAGGCGGGGAATGCTTGTTATTTTTCTGTGACAAAACTACTCAGTTCGCGCCTCTTGTCCCGAAACTTAAAAATTAGAATTTATAAAACAATTATCTTGCCTACAGTTCTTTATGGATGCGAAACTTGGCCGCTTACATTAAGGGATGAGCAGCGTCTTAAGGTTTTTGAAAATAAAGTATTGCGTAGAATATTCGGACCGAAGAAGGATGAGTTAACCGGAGAGTTCAGACGGTTACACAACGCCGAATTGCGTGAGCTGTATCCGGGTAATATAATTGAGGTAATTTCATCGCGGCGAATCAAATGGGCTTGTAAAGTTGTTGGTCTTAGTAACGAGAGAATTCCTAAAAGGTTAATATTTGCTGTGCCGAATGGTAAGCGTCGGAGGGGTAGACCGAAGCGAAGGTGGGAAGATTGCATTAAAGCTGATCTGAAGGGACTGGGTTTGGACGGCGAACGGTGGAGGGAGGTGTGTAACAAGCGATTGGTGGTGTCGGCATCGAACCTTCGGGTTCGCTAAGCCTTATTATTATTATTATTATTATTATTTATTCATTATAATGTTTAACAACGATTTAGTTGAAAACGCGAGTGTTTTTCTATCAATGCTAAACTAATCATTTCTTAACGTACCAATGTATAAAAACAATTTTAATGAATGAAACAATAAATTTAAACAGAAAGAGAATGAATTTGAAGCTGAAAACTACAGAGTCGAACATGATGACTGATTTGGGAGGCAATTGGGCCAGCTCAATCACCATCCAAGGACAATCATCGGAGGCTTCCGTCTGCCTCCACGATCTCACTCAGGATATCGCTTCGCCATTCACTCACTGCTACTGCCGCATCTCCTCCTCTGCCTCATGCGAAGGCTTTAACTACACCTGGATATTCACAGAAATTATTTAATAAATAAATAGTTCAATTTATATTACATTGGAAAATATAATTTATTGTAATCAATAAATACCCTAGTAATAGTAGTATGTTCTTTTCTTATGTTGTGTTTCTTGGTTTGGAGGTGTATGGTTGCTTCTGGTGTTGGAAATCTCCACCGAATAGATGGTATAATAAAGAAACAACATTTAAATAGACATTTTGAGAAGAAACTTGAAAAGAAGTGCGGAAAATCTGGGGCTATAAAACAATTTTAAGTTTTTATCAAGATAATGATCCCGAAAATTCTGTCATGTTAGCTAAGGAATGGCTACTCTATAACTGCTACAAAGTTATAAAAACTCTACCACAGTCACCAGATCTCAATGTGATAGCAATCTGTTAGCAAAATTGGAGGTATAAATTATAAAACACGAAATTTCTAACAATGAAGACTTAAAAAAATATCTCCTCGAAGGGTACTGGTACTGGTGGGAACTTAGTCCGGCAAGTGGGCCTATTGGTCCTTTTTGTCAATCCCAAAGATTATACTACCAGTGGTTGTCTATTGTACCTCTATTCTGTCTCAAACCTTTTTGTTCTTCTAACGAAGTTCAAAAGATTGGACCATTTAATGGAGGCAGCTTTGCGTACTTGGATTCTGTCTGCTCCCAGAAGTCTGTATCTGAGTGACGTAAATCGGTCACATTCCGTTATGAAGTGAAGGGCAGTTTCAGGTGCACTTCTGCAGAGATTGCAGAGTTCATCATCCACTATCCCACAGATCTTTAAGTGTCTTTTAAGTCTGCAGTGGCCTGTTAGTACTCCGATGATGAGTCGGATTTCTTTCCTAATTAGGCCCTGTAGCCAGTTTGTTTTGGAGGGAGGGGGGCTTTTATTTGCTTCGCCTGTCTAAGCCCAGTGCATTCCCTCCATTCTTTACCTGTTTTCTTCCAAGTCCAATCAAGGACTTCTTTCCGCTGATGCTTTTTGGATATTCCTATTGCAGATTCCGGGCCTACAATAGGAGATTCCGCTGCTTTTTTTTGCTAGATAATCAGCTTTTTCGTTGCCTTTAATTCCCTTGTGACCAGGGACCCACACTAGTTCCACCCTCTTGGAACAGGCCAGTTTCTCCAACACCTGTTTACACTCCTGCACTAGTGTGGAGTTCACTTTGGGAGACTCCAATGCTTGTAGTGCTGACTGACTCGAAGGGTAGAACAGATTATAATCAACAGACCCAGAATTCATAAAAAAAAATAGTCGGTTCCATTACAATCAGACTGAAAGAAGTTGTAGAAAATAATGGCTTTCCTACAAGATGTTGAATTAAATTAATAGTATTTAAAAGTTAAAAGAAGTGAGGTGAATCATTTGGACTTTAAAGTAACATTATCCAGTTTTTTTGTTGACTTTTTTAAATATTCACAGTTGAAGATTTCAATTTAATTATGTTTGTACATATTTAAATTGAGATTATTAATAAATCTATTTAAGATTTTCTGGTTTTATTTATTTAATGTAACCATTTATGTCTTTGTTTTATTTTTCTACAGGAGTATATCAATTTCACAGGTATATGTATATGTTACTATATGTATGTATACTGTATATATATGTATATACATATATATACATGTACATATACCTATATATGTATGCGTGTTAAAGGTACGCAGTTTAACACACTTAAGTAATAAGCTAATTATCGTTTCTTAATTGAACTGAAAAATCCGGTCTAGATCTGACAAAGTTTAAGATGAACAACAAGGAACTCGCTACCTCTGTCCCCACCAGAACCTTGAACTCGTGGTCAAAAAGTACAAGACTCGACAAAGAAAAGAATAGCCATGAATAAACTTATTTTTCTTTTAAGTATCTCAGAAATATTTGGGTGTGGACAATGAGCCTGAGCTATATGGAACTTGGCAGCTAATAAATTCAACTAATAAATCAACCTAAGAATGGCCAAGGTACAATAAAACTTCTATTACACCTTATTAATAATATGCAATGATGATTTAATATAAAAAATCTTCTCGATAGTCAACTGTCTTGTTATTTATTTATTGGAACCAATACAGAATATGAGTTTTATTACTGGTTTAGTTATTCCCGTCAGAAACTGCTCAAAGTCGGATTTAATTTATTTTTGCGCCTTGGTGGATCTTTTATGAATGTTATTAAATGAGAGACCATACACGTTTTCTTGTTATAAATCACACAAACAAAGACATTTTTGTGAACAATGACTGAAATTCTCACCATTCAATTAACCACACTGGCATAAAAGGAAGAATAAATTTTATAAGGAAGTGAAATTCAAAAATGTTTAAAGATGGTTTCGTAACCTATTAAAATACTCAGCATTTCCTATATATTATTTTTGTAGTATGGTAGGAATAATAAGATATTGTAGATTAAAAGGAATAGGAGTGAGAAGAGTAGAAATTTCACAGAGCATATAAAAATCCTAATTTAAAAATAATAAACTAATTTCAAGGTTCATCTTTTGGTAAGTAGAATTTTGCTATTAAAATATTTATGTATGTATATATACATGTTTGATGTGCTATTGCAGATCTGCAACAGAAATAATAATGTTATTTTTTATTTGGTCTGAAGAAGGAATCGCTAAGTGATTTCTCAGCGCTGGTCCTTCCAGTAATCACAGTTTGAAGACTTCGATGTCGATGAGAACCAAGTGACTTTGCTTTTGATGGTGATGTATTGAATAAGCCTTATTGAATAAGCTAATATCACTGAAGATGGTTCACAATCGAGGAAACACTGCGTTATATTTTAATTAATACTTTCTTATTTTAATTTATTTCGTAACTTCCTTTGGATTTATATGATAATTAATAATTATTCATTTTATTTCAAAATGATTAAACATGAATCTCATACAATTATTTTAATTTCAGAAAAATAATTTAAAGGAGTATAATATAATTTAAAATGGATTTGGTTGACTTTACTTAACCTACTGTCAAAAAATTAGTTAATTTTTGTATTTAAATAAATAATTCATGATTTACTTATAAAGTATAAAGCTAATGAATTCTTAATACTTCCTAGTCCAGGAAAAATGTTATATATTTAATACATAACAAAAAGACAAGTTAAATAATGAAACTGACAAATATCATTAATTCAAACATACTTCTAATATTAATTCAAACATAATATTAAACATGCATGAATAATATTCTAATAAATATATTCACCCTTTTAAGTGCAATGAATCGATTTGAGATGAAATGAAAACAATTTTGGATGGAAGTAGAGAATCTGGAGACAATTTAAGGAACTTCATTGGTGATGTTGGTGATGATCTCAATGGAGAGGTTAGATGAAGGTACTTATAAGAGGACTTGGAAGAACTACCTATTAATGAAGGAAGGAATAGCTGGTGCGAAGGCGGAGGAACGATTCAAGAAGATACATGCAGATGACTGTGGCATCTAGTATCCGAAGCAAAACGTAGCTTCATATTTCCCACAAACATTTAAGTGATAATATTCATTCAAAAGCTACTCATGTAAATCAACTTTAGATGAGATCACAACTTTAGGCCTGTAAACCAGTTCAAATACCTGGAAGACCTGGTTGCATAAGATAACAAAGTAGAGAATGAAATAAAGACCAGGAGCAGGAGGAAATAGATGCTATTTCTCATTGCAAGAGATTTGAAATTTAGATCCCTCTCTAAAAAAATCCAAATTCTTATTTACAAGACCATATGAAGGGCAATGGTTATGTATAGGTATGAGACTTGGACCTTGACAAAATAAACACATGGAAACTCCTGGGAGAAAAAAATGTTGAAAATAACAAGGGACGGAAAACGGAATTTGAGGACGAAGAAAGACTGAATAGTTACGTGAACTGTTAGGAAAACGTGATGTTGTGGCATTGATAAAAAAAAAGCACGTATAAGCCAATGTGGAAAGAATGCCAAACCGAAAAACGCCAAAAAGGATGTTCTATGAAAAGCCTGATGGCAAAGTTGAGGACGCCCTCGGATCGGATGGCTGGAGGATGTGGGGGATAATCTAAAGTGATTGGGTGCTAAAAGATGGAAGGAGATAGCACAGGGCCGTGCAGATCGGTTGGCTGTAGTGGAGGAGGCCCGGGTTTTTACAGGACCATGGTGCCATTATAATAAATAAATGAAATGTGGAATTAGTTTATTTTTAAATCGATCGGTTTCCTTTTTGAGCCGATAGATAAATAAATAAATCGTTTATTTCCAAAGTGAACCCTAATCATCATTTATTTTATTTATTTATTAATTAATATAACATTCTGTACACCATATGTAAAGCAAAAAAGCAGAATAATACAAAAGCAAAATGACACAGAATAAGGATTTTATAAAGGAATTTGGATGATATTTAAGGTTCTGGTAAAAATTTGATTCATTCAGGGTTTTTACATGGTTCAATATGGAAAAAATCGACTCAAACGTTTAGTATAAATACAATAAAGACACATAAATGCTGGTCTGGAATCTCAAAGCAGCCATAGAAAAGCGGATAGCCAGAAACGCAGTGCATGGGACGAAGTCGGCTTTCACTATTTGAGAACATTTGATATAATGGACCTCATCAATGGCCGAATATGGTACCTAGTACTCATCATCGAACCCCCTTGTTAATTGGAAAATAACAACCGTTCATTGTCTTTTATGTCATGTAGAATCGCAGATAGTTGTAATTGCGCCATTATAAACCCAACGAGAGCTGAACATGTCGGCTGCAGGAGAGTGCGTTGTGTGTGTGTACTTGAGAGCTATAAATACAAACATGGGCCGCGGACATGGAGGCCGCGGAGCTGGTGCCCTTCACCCGCCGCCACCGTCACGTGAGCTCGGACCGGTCCAGCGAGCCACGTTTCGTATCTGCATCTCGTGCCCCACTGCCTCTTAGGTACCCGACGTTGCGCATGAGTATAGTTCCAATGCGTTTCAATATAATTCGAGTCGGTATCAGGTAGGCATTGCTCTCAAAGGAGATCGAGACTTT